CCAGCTTGTTCTGAAAATGTTGTTTTTGGGGTTGTTGGGGGCGACTGTGGTTCAGTGGGTAGAGCAGTTGTCTCTCAACTGGAGGGTCGGCGGATTGAATCTTGGTGCCTGTAGTCTACATGTCAAAGTGTCCTTGGGCAAGACACAGAACCCCCAAGTTGCCCCCGATGGTTAGAGCCATTGGTGTGAGTTGGCGCCACAGATGGCTGCCTCAGTTCTGTACTGGAAACAAATTCCTTGTGTGTAACATACTTGGCCAAATAAAGGTGATTATTAATATTTTGTATATATTTCCTGTATTTTCTCCTTCTAACTTAATAAAGAGACTGAAAAATAACTATAAATTATCATAAAACCAACAACCTTTCATATAAGAGTTCAATCTAAAACTATAGTTGCCACTCTGATACAACATTTGTCCATAAAAGTGACCATTATAAATTTCCTAGTTTGTTCTGTCTAGGTATGCCGTCACTAATTTTTAAGGTAATTTACTTAAAAGTCCAAGTAACACAGCTCATCTATGTAACTTTCAAATTACACTTTATATTTTGTATGCACTATAAGGTCTCTGAAAATCCCAGGTCTACCCACCCTAACACACTTCATTAATAGCTGATCAGGCCTATACCTCCTATCCTGTTACTAATCCTCTTAAGGAAGAACTTTGTAAGTCAGTGTAGCATCAGCATTGGCCACTACATCTTTGTGTTTGGGGCAAATGCTAAAGCTATTAACAACAAGACAAACAAGGCAATGGCTGAGCTTCTTTGAGACAAAAAGAGTTCAAACAGACTCCTTAATTTCATAAAATGGGTGAAGACTGGGCAAGATCCACTTAACATGATTAAAAAATGAAATCGATCTCTAAGTATCTCCAAGTATCACATGACACGGGGGCGTAGAGGACAGAGTACAGTGGCAATGGTGGTGTGTATGTGTGTGTGTGAGGGGGACAGATCACTTGCGTATGAGAGCACCAGTTTAAGAGGTGCCTGTTGTTAATGAGCATCTGGGGGGAGATGGAGGTTGATGCACAAGAGCAAAACACAGATCAAGCCTGCGATTTGAGGCTCTAAAGGATTTCCCTCTGCACACTGTTTCAGCAGCGTAGACAAGAATGTAAAATAGCATGACAGATGCAGCTTAACACCCGAGGAAATGAAAGGTCTTGCTTAAATGGAATGGGTAGTATTATGCTCCTCTAAAGGTTGTATTTTTCCCATCACATACTGTGTCAACCTGGTATTTTGCTGAGAGCTAATGGGAGCACAGAAGTAGGATGGTGATGGAGGAGGAGAGAGCATGTGGGTAGGAAGGGAAATTGGACACATGAGCACAGGGTTGTGAGAGAAAGAATGATATCAAGCAAGGCTTTAAGGCAAGGGGTGACATTACAACGACAACAGAGAACACTGTGACACTAATGAGATATAAAGGAAAGGAACAAATGTTAGTAAGTCATGGAGACAGCTGCTGAAGACAGCTGGCAGTGAAAGAATAAAGGGGAGAGGAAGGAGAAATGTGTCGCCTGTGGATGAGATACAAGAAACAAGAGAGGGTGTAAATCTAATAACTCCCGGGGTGCAGCACCAGTGTGGCTCCCAGTTCACAATATGCTTCTGAAATACATCTCTGACAAAAAACAACTTATTTTATTAATGTATTAGAACAAATATAAACCATCTCACACCCATTTACTGTAAAAACAATAAATCAGTTGGTCTATAAATCAGGTGAGGTCTTTGTCAGTGCTCCTACAGTCATTGCCCACTTCTGTGATGAATCACGCTCCTGCTTTTAATTTCCACAATAAATACACCACCTGTGTAGCCAAAGGTCATTATCTCATGTCATAAATTCCCTGCTGTTACTTAGAAGTCTCTGGCACCATGTGTATGAACTTGAGCCCAAAATACAGAGGGATTAAAATGCAACACCAATATATGTTAATATATTTTGTGATGGTGTTTTTCTTGTATGCATCATGAAAGAATCATTAAGGGATTGCATCACAGCTGAAAGCTTTGCATGAATGGAAAATAAGCTGCCAATAAGCTGCTGGCTGACGAAAAGAGAAACAGGAAAATAAAGCAGCCTCAGCATCATTAACTTGATATGCACGGCTTTAATTCAGCTCTAATCATATTTCAATGCTTTTAGCTTCTGCCACCCCCAGTCCCTTACTCAGTGTTAATCTCAATTACTAGAGATACTCTTTGGTCCCTAGAGCAAAACGTTGTCCTACTGTGGGCAGATTTTCATTAAGAGCCCTTTCTCCAGTCATTCTTAATAAGAGCAACATGCATAAGCACACTTTCAGTCAGCTCTTTCTAAAGTGTAATGGTATTTAATGAAGGCTGTGTTAGAGATTAAAGGCTTGATCACATTCATTGTAATCATCAGTGTAAATATAACTCCAAGATTAACTTCAGTAATATTCTACATAATTTAATATGGATCTTTCAAACGTTTGTTATATTAATTAAAGCACAAGCTGATAAAATTAAAAATGCAAAATTAAAGAACCAGTTACTGTTCAATTTTAAATTCTACTAATAAGCAACTGGCATCTAGCAGAACATGAACTCAGAATTCATGAGATAAAGACGATGTCTCCTGGGAATTGATACCCCTGTTAAGTTTGTTCTCATCTTGTTTTAGTCAGTACCACCCCTCCTTTGTTTTCAGCACTAATCACACTGAGAAACACTCATTCAAACTGGAAACCAGCAAACAGTGGCTCTTTTAAAAGGTGTAGGAACACAGACACCTACCTCTTACCACCCTTTTCTCTCCTTTTCATGATGAGTTCTTCAGCAGGTCTCCGATAATATCGTAGGCTACAGCAGATCAGTTCGTTCTCCTACTGTCGGATCGGTCAGTATTTTGATTCGCCCCCATCAGGTCCCCTTAAAGTTGTGCTGAGAGCCGCTGGCATCCACGACGCGCCACTGAACCTGTTCCCACAGTTCGGGGCTCGCACAATGCACCCTTTCAGTCTCCATGCAACCAGAAAACAAGGCAACATTTTGGAGTCGGCAAGAATTTGGCAAGGACGCTGAGCGACGGCAAGACTAACACTGATGGCAGTATCTCACTTACTTCGATCCCTGGTCTGAAAAAATTAATATTAATGTAGAGTTTAAAATGGCAGAGACCTGGCGCGCACTACGTTTACGCACAGACGGAATTCGACTTAATTGCTGGATATATTCGGTCGCTGCTGGAAGTATCTGGGTAGAACTGCATTAATACACATATATAATGATATGACTAATTAGACTCATTCGTATGCATCTGCTGATTGCTGTGAGTGAAGTAAATTTGATGTGCCAGTAAAGTCAGGAGTACTCTCCCTCTACCTCTCCCTTTCCCTCTCCCTCTCTCTCTCACTCTTTATTTCACACACACCCAGAAGTGATCTCATGCACAGTGCTCATGCATGGAGCAGTTGGGTGTGCAGCTTACACTAATCATGTTTGACCTGAAGCTCGTTGCTTCAAATAAGAAGCCTGGCTGCCAGAACGATGGATCTTTGGCCGTCTCCAGGACCTTTTCCTGCCTGCTGCCAGCTGATAAGGAAGCTCAGTCAAATCCACAATAAAAACAGACGTGCATGAGTACTGGCCTGGGAGAGTCTGCAAAACATACGTTTTTAATGGAATTAAATAAAACTCCACCCAAACTCCCTCCTTTGTAGAATGACAGGCTGTGTATGATTAACTGCATTTCTTTCTTGCATGCTTTCTTTGTTATCCAAATAGTACCATTCTCCAACATAGTAATATTTTCTAATAATCTCCAACATAGTTTCTAAAAGCAAATTTGTTATACCACTAAACACAGTAAAAGGTTTCACATAATCTTAAAAGGTTTTACATAATCTATTTAAAACTTTCAATATTTGCCCCAGCACCCACTGGTGATGTCTGCCTTGACTGTGTGACTGGCAATTAAGCTGCTTTCTAATGACCAGAAATACAGGTTTTAATGCAACTTAGAAAGTAATTTAGAATTAACATTATTCAGTCTGTTTATACACCGAGTCCAGTTAAACTATTACTGTTTTCTAATTCCTGTCTTAGTTTTGGACAGCTTTCCCATACAGTAGTTTGTCCAACAATTGTACTTACCACCCATTATTTTAGGGCTGGAAACAGCTTTACAAACAAACCACATTTGTATTTTTTCACTGGCACTATTTATCAGCTGTGCCAACGATATCACTGTGAACTAACAGTGATGAGTATGCAGATTGACCTGCAGGACATTAACTGGGCAAAATGCAGTCACATGGTCTCCTCTACACTATTGTATTTTGTCCTAACACGATACAGATGTATGTATTTGTTGACGCAATGACAGTAAGACCCAGCTCATAAGAAACAGAATCTTTGTATGTTTTCATGCTGGTTTTATCTTGGTATTACAATTAGTTGTCGGTTAGAACAAGATCAGATAGGCGGAAGAGCATATGCCAGTGAAACAGCAGAAAATAGGATTACTTTCCTCATCAACAGAAGAGAGTGCACTGGCAGGCAGTCTTTCCCAGCTTTATCAGATTACTTCAAATGCTTCACTGTGGTTGGCAGCTCCACAGGGCACTCTATGCATTATCAGCAAAGCATTAGTCCTGATAGACCACACTTTCAAATGAATCAAAGTTTTTTTTTTTTTTTTGATTTGTCTGTCCAGTGCTCAAAGTAGGTTCAGGTGTCCTCCCTGTTACCCCCATACCTGTGTAGGTGGCATACAGTACCTGTAAACTGTTAGAAATTAATAAATCAGTCGGATAATTATTAGACATTAATGTGTTGAATCAAATGTGTTAGTAAATGCAATTTAGTAAGATTTACAGTCTGCTCTAGCAGTAAGTCATGACACCAATTGTTTTCCTGTATTAATCTTGTGTTGGAATACCATGTCTGAATAAATAAGTGAATGTCTTAGCTACACACCACGTGACAACATACACACACATTGAGCTTCCTCATTTTGTTATGACTAGGTAATACGCAGCTGCTGAGCCAAGCCTGTGGACCTCTAGATAAGAGATGGAGTCTGCTGGACTGACTTCATCTGTGTAAGGGGGTGGCCCAAAACTGATAAATGTATTAGGCTCTGTGTTTCCGGGGGCTCCTCACTCCAGCAGGCAGAGTGTGTGTGTCTCTGGAGGAAGGAACAACCTGGGTTGTGTTCTTTATTTCTGGCTTTAAAAATGAATCAGCACTAAATTGCCGGCCGGGATTGGCTCCGGCAAACCCCCCCCACCCCGTGACCCCGTTCAGGGACTAAGCGGTAGGAAATGAATGAATAAATTAAAGATGGACTCCTTTGTTATTCAGATCTGTCCAATTAAAGAATTGGGGTATTACAAAACCATAGCAGTGAATGGGGATTTGGCTCAGAAAATGCTAGCACCAAAGTTTCCACCATGTCACCGTGACAGGGAATGCTTTACAATTAGTCTTTTCTATGAGCTCAGTGTTACAGTGGAACAAAAGGCCACATTTAAATGAGATGGCTCCCTTTCATTCACATTTTCTTTCCTACTTTGCCTCACACACACACATGTACAGAATAGACTTGAGCACATACACAAACACACTCTGTCTGTGGCTCCCAGTATACCCCTCATTCCTTGAGCAAGATCAAAGTTCTGCATTATTTATTTCCTTCACTGTCTTGAGCCTTTTAATCAAAAACTGTGAGAACAGTGTATGCAAACCATTTTCCCTCTGCCATGAGTAACAGTGCAGCTCTTTGCACCTCCTCTTCCCTGTCAAGAGTCTTGTCTTTGAAGTCTGATATCAGTGACATTACAGAAACAATATGAAATGTGAAACTGTCTTGTGTGGCCAAGTAGTTATTGCTGTTTTATAGCTCATAGTCCCCACAACACCTCTTCCAGGGGTGGTTTTGATGTGTTGAGATGAGTAATTGTTAGTTTAGTTGGAGCCCATCATATTCTTCTTTTGACTGGCAATCTTGGTAGAGTGTCAGTGGTTGGACAACTGAGCTGACCCGGCTCTCAGAGGTGATCGCCATTACAAGTCAGCTGGACCAGCCACTGCTTAACCTGAGCAAATACAATGCAGATACAGTGTCAGGCCACATATCTGCTCTTTGCTTGGGTGAGGACAGAATTCCTGACACAACCCTCTCTATTGGGACTGGCACAGAAGTCACTGGTTTGAAACCCCTGCGGCTAGATTTGAGTTTCCATATGAATGCTCTCCCATTATTTGGCACATTTATTTGTGTATAATTGACCATTACTTTGCATATTATGAATGTGAGGCATCCATTTGCTACAAATTGTTCATATGTTACAAGTTATTGTGTATAACAAAGTGCATCCACTGATTGTGATGTATGACATATTAAATGCTAAGCTGTTATGGTCATCTGCAGTGGTCAGCCAACACAGGAGAGAGATATTTTAAGCTGTTTTCCACTGCCCTTTAAAGTAATTAATAATTCTTAGTGGTTCATTGTATCTCGCAGACATATTCACAATGACAGCCAGGGAGGGGTGTTCACATTAAAGGTCAGGTTATGGACCTCCAAGGACACTGCTGGAAATGCAATGGTCAAAACATGAACCAAAAAGGAAAGTGTGTGAATACAAATTGCCTGTCAGTGCTGCAAATGTTAAAGATTTACAGTAGATGTTTACTTCCCTAAACACTGTTGCGACATCTGCAAAGGCATGATGAAGGTATATATTTTTGTACTTTATTTTTAAGAATACTACCAGTGCGCTTTGTTATCTAGATCACTCTTATCATTTATATTTTTCCTGTGAGTATCTGCACACATTCAGCATATAGCTTAAGCCACTGAACTTTGTTTTTACTTTGCGGCCTGATATTTACTGGTGTATATGAGTGAAATGCTCACACCATAGAACCCTGCATGTTGAGTCACCTTAGGATGGTTCACTAAATGCTCACATGGCCACATCTTTGATGCACAAAGAAGAAAAGCCTCAAGTGGTCATGCGAAACTAATGGAGTTAAAGCTTAATGCATCCATAGAAAAAAGCATAAATTAAATGATTGATTTTGGTAATTTATGAATAGATTGTGGTTCATTCAAATAAAGATCAATTTGAAATGGAAAATCGATTTTTTTAAACCCAGTCCTACTATCGATAGATCTTTGATACATCACCAGCATTTCCCTGGCAGTCAAGCTGCATCCGGCCTCAAAAACACAGGGCCATCAATAAATAAACAGGAAAGCAGGTGGCACTGAGAATGTGTGTCCATCTACTTTGATAACATCTCTATACAATATCGGATGGATGACTATTTTTGGATGCTAAGTGCTCAGTATTCTTCAATTCAAACTGCCCACTAGCACTAGATAAGAGGAAGGCTGTGTGTGAGTGTGGTACAGAGTGACAGTTGCCAACAGAACAGTAATCTCTTACAATAAATTATCCCAAAAACATGTAGTCTGAAGATAAATATGCCTTTTAAATACAAACTACAAACAGGAAACAAGCTCAGCGTTAAGGCTTAAGACTAGTATCTTATTTCTCAGAGTATCAAGACTAATATTTGTGCTCGTATGGAGGTTTATGTGTACGACTATTTCTTGACCAGGTGCGCTTTATTCTTGTTGTTTGTTAGTCAGGCAGCTTTGTACTTTTACAACAGCTGTCTCCCTTTGTGTCTTCTCTTTATGCTAAGCTAAACTAAAATTGAGCTAAAAGTTAAAACTGTCTTTTGGTTGTAGATTTATATTTAAGGGAGAGACATTATGGCATTTTTTAATCTAACTGTTATTAATAAAGCAAATCTGTATATTTTCCAACATGTCAAACTTTCCACATTCCTTTAATATGGCAGCATAATCTGGAACTGTTTGATGATGTGCCAATGTTCACAAATATCTTTTAGAATATAATGACTTCATGAGCCAAAATTGTCTCTCTGACAGGCACAAAATAATGAAAACATTCAGTTTTGAAGGCAACATATCTATTTGAAAAATGATCAGGGCAAATGACACATCCTGCACTGTATTTTTCTGAAGGAAATAAATCATTCTTTCCAGCTGCAATAACAAACTGGTGTCTTTGCACTTTCATTCATGTGTGCAGTTGTGTGTGTATTTTTGTTCATACACTCCACTACATACAGAAAGAAAAATTAATGACACTGTTTGCAATTTCCTGGTTTACTGCATAACGTGGTCATGAAATGTGATCTGATCTTCACTAAAGTCACACATATCAACAAACACATTATTTCTAAGCTGATAAAACACAAACAGTCATGTTGAAAAAAAACGCTACATGGATGACAAATGGGTTTGTTGTACCCGGTACTTTTTACCATACTGACTCTGAGAGACGAGGCAGTCCAAGTAACTACAAAACAGCGCTGATTTATTCCATGAACACTGGTAAAAATTAACATTACACGCTCAGGTATCTTGCACCTCCAAACTGCACGCAGGCAGATGTAAGATGAAAGACCCTGAACCCACCAGGCCTATACATTATATCCCCTCGGTTGGGCTAGCCCCATACTACACAGAAACGTCAACCGAGACGTCTCTGTTACCAGCTTTGCAGCTGGCCATAGCAGTAGTCAAAACATGAAGTAAATCAATGTGTG